CGGACGTTTGGATTCACGTCCCTGGGTCTGATTGTCATGGAGAGGTCTTTAGAAACCCTGTTTTTATGTAGCTTGAATGAGTTGTCTCAGTTCTGGCAAGGCTGTAATGTTTCTGGACACTCAGAAGTATTGGTTAATTATAAAATACAAAGTTTTGCTCTGTCGAAGCAGATGGGAAGTGTACCAAAACACAAGGCATATTTTGAATCTGAAAGTGTGAGGTCATCTTCCATAGAAAAAAGGAAGACTTTGTTTGGGGTAATTCTTGGAAAACCAAGTCAGTCAAGATTTTTCTGTTTGCGCCATTCTCTCTCATGCACATACATGCTTTATGATGATTTTACTGTCATTTACCATGGTATAGGATAGTAAACTTCTACTGTAACATGAGTAATTATATCGGATCTTGGCAGTATTGGTGTTTCCATTCTAAGATGATTACTAGGTTTTGTGAGAAGTTCTAGCCTGCCTTAAATGAACAGTAATAAGTGGAAGCTGCCATTAATAGATGCTATCTTGTATGCAATGAAAAAAAAAACATTTTAGTTCTATCTCCAGCCTTGTTCCTGCTTGGATATTTTTAGACAAAGGTGTCACTTTCACCTAAGAGTATATCAGATTGCGAGGAGAGGATGTGGGCAATTTATCATCACTCTTAAACATGCGCTGAATTTCTTCACAGAGTCTCACTCAAGTCACTACAGAAACACTTAGAACTGTCATGTTAAGTGTAATAAGGCTGTACTTGATATTGCTTACTGTATCTGAAGATATGTATCATTAGCGTTAAATATCCTTTGCTGAAGCCTTTGCTGTTTTGGTCGTGACAGGGCTGTCCAGTCATGGTCCTGGTGGACCACTGTGCCTGCAGGTTCTCTGGATCCTTTCAATTCGGCAGCACCCAAAGAGCTGGGAGAAACTCCGCTGATGCAGTTCAGCCAGTAAGCAGCTGGGTGACCTCATAAAGAGCTGATTTGGAATGCAAACTCACAGACACTCCAGCCTTCCAGCACCAGGAGTTTACGATCAGACAAGTCTAGGGTCAAGGTGCATTCACATTGCTCAACCCCTGCTATGTAATGGAGCTTCAGAGTAATGGAGCTCTGACTCATATGCACGTTATTCCATGCGCAGTACAAATGTGGCCTGTCCGGTAGTCATCAAATATCCGAAAACATCAAGAGCTGCGAAAGGGAGTCGCAGAAGCTTTCCAGATGGGCATTGTCATAACCCTGGAAG